GGCGTTGTTGTCGTCGAGTGGCGCGAGTCCAGAACGCTGGCGTATGGGGTCGACGCGGGTTCTTTTGCCGGGACAGGCGAGGCGGCGCGGCGTCGCTCCGCCTGGCGGGCGCCAATGCGCGCGAGCGTGGCACGGTACTGCTGCCACGCGTAGTAGGCGTAGCCGCCAATGGCCGCGAGCACGGCGAGCGCGAGAAGGTAGACGACGACGATCGCGCTCATCTCCTTGTGTTCGTTCGTTTCTTTGCAGTTCGTGTTTGTGGCTGCTTATTTTTACGCTCGCAGCTGCCACGAAGAAGGCAGACAAAGACCCTGCTACGTACCGGTAGTACACCACGGATGTTGTAATGCCATCGGCCGCTCGTCGCATGACGAGGTGGCTAAGCGCTTGCGCCAGCACGCGCGCGTCCGTCGTTGCGTTCAGTGTACAGGAAGAAGAGTAGGGGGCCCTACACAACATGCAGCGGCGCCGAGTATTGTTTACACGAGGTGGGTGGCGTCGCATCCGCCCGCAGCCACAACGCACCCCCGTTGTGGATGCGATTGGGATCGCACACCAGGTTGCCCTTCAAAAGCAAGCGGCCACGTCAACTGCCAGCATGCTGGTAGAAGGGAGATCAAGGCCTCCCTTGCTCAAACTAATAATGACGAGGGGACCACTGATGTAGTAAAATGAGAGATTTTGTCGGCGACGCCTCGAGGATTGCGAGCGATGCCGTTGCCACCGCGTCAGTCCATTTGCTGCTGGTCGGCGCTACTAGTACCTTCAGTCGCTGGAGACTGCGTGGAGACGCTGAGGCTCGGCCAGGCCGGGCATCCGGATAACGAGCCCCAGCAATCCCGCCACAAGAACGCTGGGGCAAACCGTGCGGAGCTTCGATCTTCGAATAGAAAGCTTGATCTTTGTATTGACGGGTGCGAACTACGTGTCGGATCTGAATGCGCAATTGGCTGATTGCCGATTCACGTGGGGAAAACTCTGCGGAATATCTTTTGCCCCCGGCGCGATGCCATGAACGGCCATTTCCGAAGATCAAGATGGCCACCAACTTGCAGCCGACGCTTGAAGACGCCAAGGCGCTTGCGATCGCCCATGCGGACAAGAACCTCCTGCCTGTCTACCTCGACGTGACGGCGGACCTCGACTCGCCCGTGAGCGTCTACCTCAAGCTCATGCAGCACCAAGGGCCGGGCACGCAGTCGTTCCTTCTCGAGTCCATCGCACCCGGCGAGAACATTGCGCGCTACTCGTTCATTGGCACGAGTCCGTTCAAGACGCTGACATCAGGCCCAAACTGCGCGTACCAAGGCGACCCGCTCGTGCAGCTCGAAGCGGAAATGGCCGGCTTCCGCCTCATCGCGCTGCCCGAGCTCGCGCTACCGATGACGGGCGGCGCCGTCGGCTACTGCAGCTTTGACGCGGTGCGCCACTTTGAGCCGACGGTTGGGCCGTTTGTCGAGGCGCAGAAGGACGTGTTCCAGATTCCGGAGAGCATGTACATGCTCTTCGACACCGTCGTGGTCTTTGACCACGTCTTCCACTCGCTCAAGATTGTGACGCACTGCCGCCTCGATACTCCGTCGCGGGACCTTGCAACCGAGTACGCGGCCGCGTCTGACCGCATCCGTTCGATCCAAGCGCAGATCGAGTCGCCGCTGCCGCGGTCCTGCAGCAGCTCGCACGTCAGCGACAAGGTCATCGGCGATGCGCTCGACTACAACGCCATGTCGAACGTCGGGGAAGCCGATTACATGGGCTTTGTCGATACGCTCAAGCAGCACATTGTGGACGGCGACATCTTCCAAGCCGTGCCCTCGCACGTACGTCTCTTCTCCTATCCGAGGCTGACGACTCGGTAGCGCCTCAACGTTCCGCTGCCCGAGAACGTCACGTCGTTCGACTTGTACCGGCAAATGCGCGTGATCAACCCGTCGCCATACATGTTTTATCTCAACTTTGGCGACGGCCTCGAGGTTCGTCGACAATATGCACTGTGGAAAGGCTCATCCACGTACGTGTGCACTTAGGTTGTTGGCGCATCGCCCGAGATGCTCGTCAAGGTCGACCAAAACGCCGTCGTCGAGACGCACCCGATCGCGGGGACGCGCCACCGCGGCAAGACGCCGGCCGAGGACCAAGCGCTCGCGATCGAGCTCCTCGCCGACGAGAAAGAACGTGCGGAGCACATTATGCTGGTCGACCTCGGCCGCAACGACGTGGGCCGCGTCGCTGTCCCGGGCTCGGTCCGTGTCGAGGCGCTCATGGCAATCGAGAAGTACTCGCACGTCATGCACATTGTGTCGGTCGTCAAGGGCCAGCTGCGGAGCGACAAAACCATCTACGACGCCTATCGCGCGCTCTTTCCCGCCGGCACGCTCACGGGCGCGCCCAAGGTCAAGGCCATGCAGCTCATCTGCGGCCTCGAGAAGGAGCGCCGCGGTATGTACGGCGGGTCGGTCGGCTACGTGAGCTTTGGCGGCGTCCTCGACACGGCGATTGCCATCCGAACGATCGTCGTGCACAATCGCCGTGCGTATTGCCAAGCCGGCGCCGGCATCGTGTACGACTCCAACCCCGCGGCCGAGTACAACGAGACGATCATCAAGCTCGGGTCTGCCGTGCGCACCGTGCAAAAGTGCGCGCGGCAAAAGCAGCTGTCGTAGTCGACCATGAATGTAAACTTGTATCTAGTACTACGCTGGGATTCTCGCTGCCGGAGAGAGCGAGGGCTACGAGCAACGGGAGCTAGTTGCGTGACCTGCTATTGCCATAGGTCGAGTCGTTGACGCACGGAGCGCCTTATTGAAAGTTTTCTGCCACATCGAATGGGTTGGTGAGATGCATGACGTGGCAAGACGCACGGGCTTGGCGACCTCGATCCGACGACAACGTCCGAGATTTAAAAATGAAAGACTCTGTAGTTGTGTAGAGATCCGAGCTGTCGGAGCGACCACAGACATTGCTGTCGAGTGTACGCTTGGCTTCTGTGATGGTCTGCCCAGCGTATGTGTTGCACGAGGAGGACCGTGGTGGGAGCCGATGTTCGTTTTCCCCTCATCGGGTAATTGGTGATTCATAAAAGGCTCTCAAAGGAGCATCGAGCGCTTATCCGCAAGGTATATTCATGAATGATCAAATGACGACCGAGAATGACCGAGAATGCGTGGGCGCGTCGGGGTTGAAGTGGCGCAGTGTGTGTGCATAAAACCTCTCACAGCCGATACCTTGGAGATCCGATAAATGAAGAATCGAATGTGAAGGGTCCTGCGAGAAACAGAATGGCTACTGACCTCTGAAGAAACGGTCTCCCAACGATCCGAATTAGTGTGCGGCGAGACGCCGAGCGCTCATTTCCGAATTCGCCATCATGGAGTCGTTCCGCGGCCACGACCCCGCGGATACCATGGACGCGCCGATGCCGCAGTCCAAGCTCAAGCTGCGCAAGAAGGCCGTCGACGACGACGCTGGGCCCGCGCCGGGGCGCAAGCGCGCGCGTCGGGAGAAGGACGTCGACAAGGCGTACCCGGACGACCGGTCCTCGACCGGCGGTCGCGACGAGAAGCCCGACGTGGTGGCCGCGCCGGCGGTGGGCGTCCCTTTCCTCACAGCCTCGGGGCGCGACGACATTGAGGCCGGCAAGAGCTTGCTCGAATTGCTCCTCAAGCCGAGCCGGCAAAAGTCCAAGCGCCGCGACGACCGCACCGAAGAAGAGATGTTTGGCACGCACGACATGACGCTCGTGCCGCCTGGCATCGTCAACAAGATGGACAAGCTCAAGGACGACTATGTGCGCGCGGTCGCAGCGGAGCACACGCGGCATTGGATCCACATGAGCGGCTTTGGCGACAGCTCCAAGTTTATGAGCAACTTGATCCCAGCGGTCGAGCCGCAGTACCCGTGCAACTACCCGACGATCCTCGACGAGATTGTCGTTTCGTTCATGTTCAAGCGGCCCGAGGTACTTGCGTTGTCTGGGCTATGGTGCTCATGTATGATGCTTAGTACACGGATGTGTTGATCCGGACCGTCATCAAGCGCCACACCGAGCACGTCTACCCGGAGAAGAACCCGCTCGTGCAAACGATGCTGCAGAAGATTGCGCTGCTACACACGGGCGAGCTCTTTGGCGACTCGGCCGCGACGACCCGGCACCGAATAGCGACCTTGGCGATCGTCAAGGCCTTGTTCCACAGCAACCAAGAGAAGCTGTACCTGAGCACGTGGATCCTCGACTGCTTGCGCGTCACGAGCCAAGACATGCTCGAAGTGCTTGTCGCCAAGCTCCTAAACGCGATCGCGTTCCTTCCGCTCATGCAGCCCGAGCCGCAAGCGCTGCCGTGGCTCGCCATGTGGCAGGACGAGACGTGGTCCATCTACGACGGCGGGCACCAGCTCGTGGACCTCGTGCACCTCGAGACCAAGCACGACCCGTCGACGCGCCGCGTGACGCGCGCGATCGTCCGCGAGGCGCTGCTGCGCTTTGCCTACATGCCGCAGGGCCATTTTTCGTTCTTCGCGCCAGCGTTTCGCTCCTATTTATGCGCCGCGACGACCGGCAGCCTCGAGATGCTGTCGGAAGTGCTGCCGAAGTTCCCGCCTCGGTACGCCGCCGACGATCCGCACCCTGTCTCGCAGCTTCTCGAGCTCTTTGCCAGCGCGATTCCGCTCGCGAACGCGTCGGACAATGCGTGGTTCCTCCTGCACCTCTGGCCGCTCGTGCTGCAGTCCGACGACGTCGCGAGTCTGCTGCCGACGATCTTCTCGCGCTACATGGCGTACGTCTTTGGCGGTCTCGACGAGAAAACGCAGACAGACCCGCTCGGTTTCAGCGCCAACGTCGCCTTTTCCACGGTCGACGCGTGGCACAGCCTCCGCACGTTCCTCGAGGCGATTCCTAAGCACGCGACCAAGCGTCTTGCGACCATTCGCACTGTCTTTCGCGCGTGGAAGGCGGCGTGGCGTGATGCTGCCTTGCCGCTGCACGTCATGCTGACGATGGTCGTCGTCTCGCTCTCGTTCCACGCGACCGACGACGCATGCGCGGCGTTCCACGCGACGAGGACGGAGTTTCGGGCGCTCACGCTGTCGCTTTTGACGGCCAAGGCGGCGACGCTCTATGCATCCGGACCCGGGTACCTTGCGTTTCGCCACACGTTTCTGCAGCACCCGCGCGGCCTCTGCCCCAAGCAGCTCGCGAACGTCGTCGACACGGTGCTGGCGCAACTGCCGCTCAACGACAACACTTTGTATGCGCTCGGATTGCAGCAGACACTCGCCACAAGTTTGGCGGCCGAGTTGGAGCCCTTGCCCGACGTTGCGTTTTTCGATTGGCAACAGCACGTTGTTATGGCGCTGCCGAGCGGCCCGTCCTGCGCCGCGTACCCGCCACAGCCGCTCTTGACCTTGCATCTCTTGACCGAGCTCGTATGTGCTTGGAACTGTCTGTTTGTAGAATGAACTAAAAGTCACGTAGGTGACGAATGCCTCGCTCACTGTGGCAACGTTTGTCCAACGCCAAGTGGCCACGTCACCGGCCGTGTACGAAGCGCTGATTGCGCTCCTTTCGTCGCGGGACCACGACGTGGTAAATGCGACGCTTCGTCTCTTGCACGACGTCTTGACGCGCTTCCACGACCCGGTGCCAGACCTCTGGACGCAGCCGCATGTGGTGCAAGCCATTGCCCGCCTCGCCCACCGCGGCGAGATGAGTGCCGCCACGACGCTCCTCGAAGCGCTTGTGACGCGAGGACCGCCGCGCGTGCCGCTGCTCCTCCTCCGGCTGTGCGTCGACGCGCTGCCGTCCCTTGCGGCCCACGAGATGCGTGCGTACGTGCACGACGTGGAGATTGGGCTAGCGACGACGCCGGCCGCGTGGGAGCAAGTGCTGCAGTTTGCGTCGGCGCAGCTGCTCTCGACGGCGTCGGCGCACTGGACGGAAAAGTCGGCGGCGCACATGGGTCTCCTCGTCTTGCGCATGCTGTACAAACTCGACTGGCGACCCGAGTACGCGTCCGTGCTGCCGTTTGCTCTCCGGACGCTCGAGACGTCGTCGGATGTCGTTTGCGCCTTGCAACTCGGACTGCTCTACGACGTGGTCGCGACCGCGCCGCGCACCGAAGACATTGCGCCCGTCTTGACCGCGAGCAACGTGAGCTCGCGCCTCCAGCTGCTGCTGGCGCTGCCGCAACAGCGTGGACCGTCGATCGTGGCGCTTGCCCGGCGCACGCTTGGCGCACTCGAGACCAAGCACCCCGCAGCAGCAGCACCATCATCATCATTATGAAAGGCAGCCACCACCGACGACTAGAGTTATACAGAGTTTTAAAAACAATCCAGATTGTGGTCGCGCGATAGCGACCGTCAACCACATACGACACTAAACCGTAGCAAGTGCCCACCTGCAAGAGGCCTTAGCCCAAGGGCAAAACCACGACCGTGTAGCGATGACTAAAGGCAAAAGCACCAGATCTTTCATTTCGTTGATTACGCATGTTGCAAGCTCTACATGAAAAGTTGCTGCTCGAGCATCGTCCGGAGCTCGTCGTCTTGAACCTTGCTCAACCAAAACTGAACGCGATTGATGCGGACGATCAGCGTGCCCAATCTCACACCTTCACTCCAGTGCTCGAGAAAGACAGCGATGGCCCAATCTCTGATGGCACCACGCCCACGCAGCTCATCGGCACGCGCCAAGAGTGCGCCCGGTGCACGAGGCAGACCGTCAAGCAGCTTGCGTCCCTGGAGTTCGAGCTGGCGCGCGAGGTCGCGCGCGACCTCGCGCGCGAGGTCGTGGCGCACCATCCGTCGCCCGTTGTCTACCGTGTCCGGAAAGAGGCCCAAGAGGTACTCGAGGTTGATGCGTGGGTGGTCGGGGTGCATGGTGTGCGGCAGCAGAGCTTTGCTGAACGTCGCATGGTTGGGGAAGCCAACAAGAGAGACGAGGAGCTTCTTGGCGGCTCGGATGTCGATGTCAAAGTACGGAAGCACTTCGACACGGTTCCACTGCATCGCACTCCACAGGAAGCCCGGGTCACCACGGAGCGCGGGCGTTCGCATCAAAAGTTGCGCGACCATATCCATGTTGTTGGCCTCGATGGCGGCTGCAACGGCTTCAATGGACCCACCTTCGAGACGATGCTGCAAGAGGAACTCGACAATGTCCCAAGCGCCAGCTTTCGCAGCGCCGTCGAGAGCCTTTGTTGTGCATCCAGCAGACGAGTGATCTTGAAGGTACTTGACCAGCGGGAAGTGGCGGTGGCTTGCGCATGCCGCGTCCATCCAGTCGGAGCTCCAGGGCACACCAAGCTTCACGAGATGCTGGATCGTCTCGATAATAGTAGCGGTAGCGTCCACCGAGTTCACCGTCTCGGTAGCGTTCACCGAGCTCATCAGCGCATTTCCGCGCACGGTCACTGCATTGGGGAACGGGTACCCGCGCGCGATCAAAAACTCCGCAATGGCTGGCTGCACGCACTCGAGTGCGTAGCGCACCAGGTCGTCGTGACTGCTGCCTTCGCTTCGGTTCTCCAAGAGGAACTGCACGACGTCGAGATGCCCATGCAAAATGGCCTCGTCCAGCGCACGGACGGTCGCGCCAAACGTGCCGGTCGTGTGGAGATGCATGACCACCTGCAATTGGCCGCAGCTGGCAGCCTCGTCGATGGCATACGGTGACGCGCCGTCCGATCGCTGCGCAAGGAGAAAGTCAATGACGTCCAGAGCGCCATTGCTGATGGCACCGTGCAGTGCCTCGATCGTGCAGCCTTCGGCGCGGTTGCGATAAAGGAACGAGACGACATCAAGGTGGCCGTTTCCTGCCGCGTTGTCCATGGCAGCCCACGTGCAGCCCTCGCGCCGATGCGTGTGCAAAAACTCAACTACGTCCAGATGACCGTTCGTCGCAGCGCCGTCCATAGCTCGAGAGGAGCAGCCCACACCGCCGTTGTGCAGATGTTGGACAACCTGCAGAAGACCCTTGCCAGCGGCAGCGTCAAAGAGGCGGGGACACGCCAGCCACGGCAGGAGCTCAAGGATTGTCGGGATGTTGGCGGCGTTGCCCCGCAACACAGCGGCGATCACATCGTCTGCAGTAGACCAAAAGTCTTTGCGGCACAAGCCAAAGCGCGCGAGCAGCTGGAGGCCGCGGACGTTCTCGATGGCAATGATGCGCTCAAACACCGCCATCAAGTATCCATGCCGGCGCTTTTTGGTCCGGTTGAGCAGCGGCACGCTGGGACGCATGTCCAAGAGCGCTTCGGCGATCTCGAGCCGGTTGCAGCCGAGGGCGACGAGGATCGCGTCTCCGGAAGCGAGGACCGGCCGGCAGCGCAACAGGCGCAACACCCAGTCCATGAGGTCGCGAGCAATGGCGACGTGCAAGAGAAAGCGTCTGTCGCGCTGATTCGCAGGCAAGACATAGTCGGAGGCCTCGATTAGCCGAGCGTCCGTGGGTACGAGGTCGCCAACGGCCTCGACGAAGCGCGGGTCGATGATGTACGTCCCGTCGTGGAAGCGCACATGGTTCTTGAACGCGCGAAAAGCCGAACGCACGTCCTCGTAGATACCACTTTGGTACTTGAAGACGATGGCCGCGAGCTCCGGCTGCTGGAAGACGTTGCGGAAGCTGGCCATGGCGAGGGGGTCACCCTTTCTGCTGCTCGGATCGGCGAATTGACTGTGAAAAATTTGAAAAGCATTTATAATATCTTACTACACTATTTTGAGATAGAAAGAGCGAAATTAGCGTAAGAGACGATTTGGCGCGAATTGCCATTCCTCAATCCATACATACTTGGCGACGACAACCGTGCTGGCGTCCGCCATACCAGTGGTGGGCGATGCGGGTTAGCTTGCTAACTGCCACTACAGTGTACCTACATGTGCAGCACCAACAGCTAAACAACCAGGCCTACCCGATGCATACAATTTGTAGCTGCACGTCGGTAGATAGGTGGCAATGACGAGAGTCAATACAAGAGAACATGCACCTTGCATTGGACCCTCTACTATAATAGAGCAAAGCGCTTTGCGCCGTGCGACAGCGTTGCTACACAGTAGCAAATTGTCCAAGCAGATGCTACGAACGCGTGGAATCGGTGACACCATCGGGTCATTTTTGCCTCCGGAAATCGCACCCATCCTCAAACTGGTGCTAATCCAGCGTCTAAACCACTAGACTAATAGATGCCACTAGTTTCTTCACGTTCGCAGTGGCTACTGTAGATTTCCTCTGCCGTACAAAAGCACCACGACCCTTTACACCGACGTCTCGCGAGAAACCCTACCCCTCGTCGGAACCATGCATGCGTCGACGACACACAAGACCGAAAGAATGGACGGGATCCTGGTTGGTCGGGTGCTCCAATATATGGAGGCTGCCACCGAGCTTGTATGACCTGAAGCGCTTGAAGTTGGATCCCAAGCTTGCGCTCGCCAGGCTGTCTTGTCCGCTATTGGCGGCATATGCCACCTCAATGTATGCCGAATACTGGTGACTTGGCTGGCATTTGCGGCATTAGCCACCTCTTTTGATGCCGAATTCAAAGGTCGGTGCCGAAGATAAGAACAGTTGCAAGCGCGAGTGCAACCCGAGGACAGCCAGACTTTGGCGGACGTCGTCGACGACCTGCGGCTGGTAGAGAAGAGGTGGAGCGTCATAACAGCAGCAGCAGCAGCGACCACAGGAACTGTGATCTTGTACAGACCGACCGCATCGACTTCTGGGCGTCCACGCCAACTCGGCCGCTAGCGCCACGCAAGTCTGCGCAGGTGGCGATGGTCCAAGTACAGTACTACTACGCGAGAAGAGTGCCGGCGATCCGAGCACGCAAGAACCGATCGCGCCGGTCTCTCGCGTCTCTCCGAGGTCTTGGCGTGGGCAGCATTGGATTGCAATGGCGCAGTCCCGACAGCGTGCTCCTGGCTTAGCCCGTCATCCTCGTCTCTTGCAACCTCTGATCGTACAGCTCTTTACTATTGTCGGTGGCATACTTTCTGCGCATCGTTGCGTCGACTCGCATGCACGACGCGTCCTGGTTCACAACTTTGAGGATCACAGCCATTCCCACGTGCGCCTGCATCATCATGTGACAGCTACGCACGTACCTCGCTAGCAAGAGCGACCTGCCTACACTGCCTCGCTCGAGACGTCGTCGGACGTCGTTTGCGCCTTGCAACTCGGACTGATCTACGACGTGGTCGCGACCGCGCCGCGCGCCGAAGACATTGCGCCCGTCTTGACCGCGAGCAACGTGAGCTCGCGCCTCCAGCTGCTGCTGGCGCTGCCGCAACAGCGTGGACCGTCGATCGTGGCGCTTGCCCGGCGCACGCTTGGCGCACTCGAGACCAAGCACCCCGCAGCAGCAGCACCATCATCATCATCATCATTATGAAAGGCAGCCACCACCGACGACTAGAGTTATACAGAGTTTTAAAAACAATCCAGATTGCCGTCGCGCGATAGCGACCGTCGACCACCTACAACACTAAGCTAAAGCGTCGCAGCTGCCCACCTGCAAGAGGCCCTACCCCAAGGGAGTACCGGTAAATACGTAGAAGCTTATTTATTCCCTCGCCCTAGGCCCTTGTCTTTGGCGACCCGAAGCAAACGACTGTTGCGATTTCGTGACGAGATTAAGAGGTTAATGTAGACGATGTACTAGTCTCCGTGTGCAAGTTGTTAGCGCGTCGCAGCTGTGATCTTCGGCGCTGCTGCTTGGTTGTGGCCCACAACCAAGCAGCCGCCGCCGCACGACGGTTGCAGAGTGTTGGTCCCTGATGTTTGTCTGCTTGGGTCATTTCCATTTTCGAGAGGCCAAGACGACGACGACGATGGCGGTCCGCGCGCGGTACGGCCTTGTCTTCCCGCGGTCCTCTTCGCCGGCTGCCATTGACGCGGTGCAAGTGGCGCTCGAGGCGCGGGGCCTTCTCGTCGTGCGCGAGACGATTGCCGGCGAGACGAGTCCGGTCGCGACGTCGTACCTTGCCCAGCACGACGCCATTGCGCTCACAGTGACCTGCAGCCGCGCGCGCCTCGAAGCGCATGCCGAGCGCCTCAGCCTCTTCAAGCCGCTGGCGGACTCGCCGTGCGCGCGCAGGGAGCCGTTTGTGATGGCGCGCGGCGACACGTTTGCGCATTACGCCGAGACCGACGGCCCGCACCGGTTCTTCTCGAGCAGCGAAGAGCTGTACGTGCTCGGCGACCTCCTCGACGACGCCATCGAGGGCCATAACGTCGAGGCGTTGCCGCTCCACGACAAGCACGAGAAGAGCGTGCTGTGGCGCGACTTTTGCTGGTCGCTGTACCCATCGAACACGGACCTCGCCGACCGCATGGAGGCGTACTTTGGGCCCAAGGTCGCCTTGTACTTTGCGTGGCTGCACTACCTCACGCTCTTCTTGGCCGGGCCCGGCGTCCTTGGCGGCCTCCTCACGCTCTACGAGTACGTCGCAGCGGTCGACGAGAGCGACGACGTGGCCGTCTCGCCCTTCTTCACGCTCTTCATGGTGCTCTGGAGCGCGTGCTTTTTGCAATATTGGCAGCGCCGGTCGGCCGCGCTCGCGTGTCGCTGGGGCCTCCTCGACGCCGCGACCAAGCGCACGCTCCGCCCCGACTTTGTCGGCGTGCCGCACACCAACCCGTTCTCGGGCGTCGTCTCGCTCACGTACCCGTACTACTACCGCGCGCTCAAGTACGTCGGGTCGGCGCTCGTTACGACCAGTCTGCTCTCGATGGCCATCGGCATCATGGTGATCTCGCTCAACTTTCAGGGCTACATCCACGCCGCGTCGGTCGGCGGCGCGTACCTCCATTGGCCACTCGTGCACCAGTTTTCGCTGCCCGGCGCGATCTTTGACCAGAAAGGTGGCGGGCCGCTGCCGTACGTGCTGCCATATGTGCCCGTTGTGCTGCACTGCTCGCTCATTCTCGCACTCAACTTGCGCTACCGTAAAATTGCTTATGCGCTCACGCAGTGGGAGAACCATGCGACGACCGAAGCGTTTGAGGATGCTTTGGTGCTCAAGCGCTTCTTTTTCGAAGCGTTCGACTGCTACATTGCGCTCTTCTACCTCGCGTTCTGCCAGCTCGACGTCGTCTTGCTCAAGGCCGAGCTCACGTCTTTGTACATGGCCGACACGTTCCGACGCGTCGGGCTCGAGACGCTCCTGCCGCTTGCGCTCAAGTACCTTGGGACGCGGCCGCGGGACGCGACCAAAAGACTGACGACGTCGACGCCACGTCGGCCAAGGTGCAAGTCGTCAAGGAGGCGACGGCGTTCGACGAGTACGAGCCGTTTGACGACTACCTCGAAAAGGTCATTGAATTTGGCTACGTCACGCTCTTTGCGTCGTGCTTTCCGCTCGCGGGACTGCTCTCGATGGCGTCCAACCTCATTGAGCTCAAGTCGGACCAGTTCAAGCTCGTCTTTTTGAGCCAGCGCCCGATGGTCGAGCGATCGACCGACATTGGCATTTGGCAGTCGATTCTACGAGGCCTCGTCTGGCTCTCGGTGCTCACCAACGTCTTCCTCTTTGGCTTTACGACCGACCAGCTCAGTCTCTTTTGCCCGTCTTGGTTCCAGACGATCCCTGTCGACGACGCGGCGTTCGGTGGCGTCGACCACATTCACGTCGCGGCGTCGGGCCAGGGCATGACGGTCATGGGCGTTGTCTTTGGCGTCGAACACGTGCTCTTCGTGCTTGTCGTTCTCATTTCAAAGCTGATTCCGAGCGTTCCCGACAGCGTCGTTGAAGAGACTGCGCGGCGCCAACGAGCGCTCGTGCTCGCCAAGCCGCCTTCGTCCGCCGCCGAGTCGGGATAGGTGTAGGGTTAATCAACGAATCGAAGGATCAAGTTATGTTGCCTTTGGTCATCGCGACACGGTCGTGGTTTTGCACGGCTGTGGTTTTGCACGGCTGTGGTTTTGCACGGCTTGGGCTTGTGGCGAGGCGCAATGCGTTCACTCTTTACTCATCGGCCGGCCACACCCGCCGACGCCCAGCTAGCCGATGTCGTGCGTCTCACCTCTGTCCACGGGCATTCCACAACGCATTCAAAAGTTCCTACCAGCTCGCCCCGCACGGGTCCTGTTAGCGCTAGCGAGGGGCCCCGACGCATGACCCCATGACGACTAGACGGCGCAAGCATACGTTTCTTCGAGGCGCTTCAACAGTTTGTAACCGAGGTGAACGCGATAGCAAGAAGCAGGCCACCCACGCAGCTTTAGCTATCGACCTGTATCGTACACTCAGCACGATAAATATGCAAGGTGATGGTAGACGCACATCACATGCAGTGGCTTCTGAGTTGTTTGGCGCGCCGAGGACATCGAACCTATCTTTTCAAAAACGAGCGGATCTTGTCGTCGAGCTACAGCAATCTAGCAATCTAGATTGAGACCTCTCCATGTACCCTGCCCCACGTCACCCGAGGTTTCAGTGGTAATGAAAACCTCACGTCCTTTGCCCCAGAGCAAACAAGGCAAAATGAGTCATAAAGAAAATGTTGTTGATTGATTTGTTAGGTCGATAGCTATTGCTACCGATAAAGTCGTGGTTGAGGTACGCGACGGCGTGGACCATGAGACGGCGTTGAATGTAAACGTAGTTCGTCGGCTCGTCGACATATTGTGCCCCAAAATCTCTTCGTAGAGCAGCTCGAAATTGTTGAAGCGTCCCGTGAGCGACATCACAAAGTTGCAAAGGTTGAGGCCGACAGCAGCGTCGAACACGTCCAGCGCCGCGGCGTCGAGCGTCTCCATGGCCGTCGTGACCACTTGGAGGATCGCCGGAATGACGACGCCGACCTGGGACCACAGCGGGTCCATCTTGTGCAGGCGAGGCCGTGCAGCGCCAAGGCGACCAAGAGACTGCCGAGAAGACCTTCGCGTTGAGCGGGACGTGGAGCGCGTCGGTCCGGGGCGTGGCGCGCGCAAGCAAACGCGCCCAGCGCAAGCACGGTGCGTGCAGAAAGTCTCGTCAAAACGGGGCTGGCATCGGAGGCCCGTGGCGTCGGAGGCCCATTCGTCGGCGTCGAGGCCGACGACCTTGTGGTGAAGCTGTGGACGGTATGTGAGGGCGGCGGGGTATTTTCCAATCTGTTGATCCTCACAAAACCTACTGCCTGTCCAACGTTTTTTCCCCTACTGCCTACAGTTGCACTAGAACGCGCTGCCGCGTCATTCTAATGCGCACACCGCATCACGACATTGCCCCAGACGTCGCAATCTACAATAGAGAAAGACCGGCTAAGAGGACGATTGGGGCATCTTGAGCTAGCTTCATATTCGTGGAACAGCGTGATCGGGAGTCGCATTGGCGGCGCGGGGACGTGCCACGCTCGTACTAGTGATCGACCAGACCAAAAGAGGCGAATCAACTATTTTCACGCAACCAAGTTGAAGTCGACGAGGTCTTTTCCAGAGCTGGCGAGGACAAATGGGACTACTGAGTACTAGTATGTGCGTAGAACGACGAGTGCGAAAGCTTTGCGTTTGTTTTTTGCCAGCTTGATTCAACGCAACCTCGTTTCTATTGTGCACCAGCCAGCATCGTCCGTAGCTCGCCGTCTCGAGCCTCGTTCGAACAAAACTGAAAGCGATGAATGCGGATGTTCTTTGTTCTCAATCTCGCTGTCAAGAGAGCACCTCCAGAGGCTCGTCAGCCGACACGAAGATGACACACCTTCGTTGCTGGGTGGTTTGTCCAGCCCACTGCATTGGCCACCGGAGGCTAGGGTTTTCCCTCACGCAGAGGTTTTGCCAGTCCTCACTCGCAGTTTGTATGCCCCATAATGTCCTCAATACATTCCGGGCCATTGGCTGTGGCGACTTCACCGTCGCGCACTTCCGTTTGGTTTCCGGTCTGGCTCGCTTCCCGCTTGCCCGTTTGCCCCCTCCTCTTCCTCTTTGCTTCGTTTCTCTGCTTTGTGATTTGCTGCTCAAGTGTCAGCTTGACACTCATCACTTTTTAATGTTTTTATATTCGCGATGATTTTAATTCGAAATCAGCAATAGAATCACCCTGACAGTTTTAAAAAGCATTCAGCCAAAAGAATGTGATTCACTCAGTTGAGTCCAGCGCAATCAAAACGCATTGAAATTGAGCTCGGAGCCATCCAAGCGCGAGTACTATAATTCAAGCTCTTTCTCAAAATCGAAATTTGAACTCAATCGGCCCATTTTTGAGCGAGCAAGTGACAGGGTTGCCTAAACGTACAGTAGTGCTCGAGAAGGACAGCGCCCAATCTTTGATGATACCACGCTCACACAGCTGGGCTGCACGCCGAGAGGGCGCTCAGTGCCTGAGGCGGATAGTTACGCAGCTTGCTTCCTTGGTGTTCAAGCTCGGGCGCGAGGTCGTGGCGCACCGTCGGTCGCCCGTCGTCTAACGTGTTCAGGAAGAGGTGCAAGCGAGACCCGAGATTGATGCATGGGTGGGTGGTGTGCATGGCGTACCACAGCAGTGCTTTGCCGAATGTTGCATGATCGAGACGGTCAAAAATACAGGCGAAGTGCAGCTTGGCCGCTCAGATGGCGATGTTGAGGTACGGAATCATCTCGACACAGCCCCACGCGATCGCCGTCCGCCCACGCCTTGGTCCACCAATCGAAGCATGGACCGAGCAGCAACGCACAGTTCGGACAATGCGAGCAGCTAAACCCTCTCATCGCCCGCTTGCAAAGTTCTACAGGGGATTTTTTGCTAGCTATCAAAAAGCTTGCAAACCACGGCTTTGTCCGCCGCCGCCGAGTCGGGATAGGTGTAGGGTTAAGATGCCAAGTCTATCGGTCGAAAAAACCGAGTCTTTGTTTTGGATACCTCCGGCTGCCTGCACGCGATGATGGGCGCGTGGAGCGTTGCCAACACGCGTGCGCGGTTGTGACGCATGCAAAATTCCCGAAAATCGTATTTTTACCCGTCAAAATGGTGTGTATTTGACTGCGAGCAACGGCGTGATTTCCGGAATCCGTACCGCAATTCAGTTGCGTACTTTCGAGCCCGAGATCAAATGACCCAGTACGCGGACGTGGAATACGAGGCAGCGCTCACGCTCCCCTCGGCCGAGGAAGCGGTCACGCGCCTCCGGCTGCTGGCCCGCAACATCAACCGCCCCGTCGGCCGCTACGCGTTTGTGTGCAACTACGCTGGCGACATCCGCGGAGCGCTCAACTTCGCCCGACTGCAACCCAACGGCGCCGCTGTCGTCCGTCTCTTTGTAGCCGCGGGGTGCTACGACGTGGCGCTCGCCCGAGTCGTATGCGAGTTAGACGTTCTGGCCGTCAAGAAGCTCACGATGCACCCCGACCCGTCGACGCCTCCGGCCATTCGCGATCACGTCCGCAACACGTCGTTTGCGCGCTGGTCTGGGAAGGCAGGTCGCAGCTCCATCGCCATCCTTGTGTGGCCCATGATGCTGCGCTTGCGCTTCCTCGGCTTCCAAAAGGTCTTTGACATGCTCCAAAATCCCGATGGCTTCAAGGACGTCGCCGGTCTCGTTTGTGGTATGCGTGCGCCAGCCGTCGTGCCCCTTCTCGTGAACCTTGCGAGCAACACGACGGACGCACCCCGAGCGCCGATCGACGCGAAGGCGCAGCTCGGCAGTTTTTTGGCCACCTCGAAGCATCCGCTCGGCGCTGCGATTTGTGTCGAGTTCTTGCACAGAAGCTCGGTGCTGGATCTCCACTACGACCGGTTTGTGTTCCGTGCCTTGGCGCTGCACGGATGGTGGCGCATCGGGTACGCTGTGGTCATGATGCTGAACCGCAGCGCAGCGTTGCACTATATCATTCCGAATCTCGTGCGCTTGGTCTTGCGCATCGTCTTGCTCGACGACCACAAGTTCGTCGACGAAGCGACTTCCATCCAGTTCGTCAAAGACGCGAAACGCATCCGGGGCCAGCCGCTCTTCCACGAGTTCGTCAAGAAGCTGTACAAGCCATGCTTGTACTGGGCGCGGCGGCTAGGGCTGTACACGCCGATGTTTGACACGGACCGCATCGACCTCATGGCCGACCTCTTGCGGCTCGAAGCTTTCGTCGCGTCTCGCGGTCCGCTTACCGGTAGTCAAGTTTGGCTCCTCACCAAGCTTCCCGCCGAGCTCGCGTACAACATTAGCGAGTACGACACGCCGACGTTGTACGCGGTGTCGCCGTCGATCTTCGACCACTATGCGTTCTCGCCGGTCAACATTTTGGCGCCCGCCATCGCGCAGCTGACCGTAATGCCCCGAGACATGGACGGGCATCTCGACCGCGCCATTGAGTGGCTTCACCACGATCAAACGTTTGCGACAACGGACGGTCTCACGAGCCTCATCCAGATCCTGCTGAAGACGGGCCGCCTCCACACCATGGACCCACTCTGGTCCCATGTCGCCATCGTCATCCCGGCCATTCTCGACGTGGTCACGACGGCGATGGAGACGCTCGACGCCACGACGCTGGACGTGTTCGACGCTGCAGTGAGTCTCAACCTCAACAGTTTCGTGATGTCGCTCACGGAAGATTTCGACGATCTCGACCTGCTCTGTGGCGAGATTTTGGAGTGCTACGACATGACCGATGAGACTACCTACGTCGGAGCCCAACACCGTCTCGTGGTCCACGCCGTTGCATATCTCAACCACGACGCGCAGCACCCGCGGACGCTCCCAAACGACACGGTGCGAACGCTTTACCATCGGTGCAACTCTCCGAATGCGGCGTGGGTCCTTGCGCCTCTCGTTTTGAACCTTCCGAGCGGCAACGAGAAGCGCGTTTTTGCGCGCAAGTGCATCGATTTGCTCACTCAAGGCCCGAACATCGCCCTGTTCGATGAGACCCCCGAGTGGTACGAAGCCGTCGAGCAGCTGCGCAGCGTCGTCCGTAGCTAGATTCAACAAGTTACGCGACTAACTACTCAACACGAAGTCATTGCATGTGATTTCCGTCTGCCATCACCTTGCATTCATACCATGATATCGTGTTTGATGTACGATAGAGATCGATAGCTATAAACTGCGTGGGTGGCCTGCACCTGGGTTGCACATGCTTCTTGAGCTTTTCGACGCGTTCGTCTCGTTGACACACTGTTGGAGCTTCATGGAAAGAGGAAGCCACGTGTGCTTGCGCCGTCCAGTCGTAGTGGGGTCCAAAGATGGTCGTGCGTCGGGCCTCCAAGCTAGCCTCGTTGCTTTTGAGGTACAGAGGGATCCAGAGAGGAAAGAAGCACGGCGTCGGCGAGCTGGGCGTCGGCGATTGCGGCCAGTAAGTCGCAGGCCGTTGACCACGGCACGATCGGGGCGCGCACAGGCGTCGAAACGAGGCGCAAGACAGAGCAGGTCATTGGCTACGAGCAGCTGGTCGTTGGATTGACGGCGGGAGATAGCGGTCGACGTGGAGGACGATAGCGCGCGTCAGCAGTCGTGGTCGTCAAGCTGGCGCCAGACAAGAAAGACTGGTCGCGCCTCGCGATAGACATGCAATCCTGCTGGCGGCCGTACGGCGCTTCGGTGCGCTGGCTCCAGATGAGGCGCAGCCACACGTCGCATTGGACACGGGCCGCTCGTCGACGCGGTCGGACAGCTCCATCGTCGACCAGCTCCTGGTCATGGAAATCTTAGCTTCGGCACCGCTTCGTAAATTCTGCAGCACTGACGTGGCGAATGCCGAAAAGCCGGATACGCCACAGATTATCCAGTCCCAAGCAGGTCATTTCGACAAGCACGCGCGGACGACGCTATGGAGGCTCGGGATGTCACGGCAGACGGCGGTCATGCCGCTAGCACCGAAGCTGGAGCGCGATGGCAGGTAGATGATCGCGCGTTTGCGCATGCTCGAGGTTGGCGGACCATGCAGGAAGCGCTTCCTGCATGGACCAAGTGCACTCGCCTCGTCATCGACAACCTCGTCCACGCCAACTCGACGATCCAAACCCGCGCATATCACGGTATCACGTCGAAGATTTGAAATATGGTTTGTAAATTGCCAGCTTTGCCGCCGCCGACAAGGAGTGCCCATTGCGGCCAAGGTGCAGCAGCTGCCAAGCCACGGCACCGCGTCGCGCTTGGCCGCTCAACCCGCGCCGTGCCACAACGTACGTGCCGACCGAGGACTCGCGTCTTGCAGCGGTAGTCGCTGCATTTAAAGTTGGCATACATGCATGAGCGAACACGCGTGCAATGCAAAGCTTGTCGCTTGAGCTTGGGAAGCAAGACATCGCTCCAAGCCCACTCGTGCTGTGATGCTATGACGAGGAGAGCTGGCAACATCATTGTCCACCCTGCACTCACCATATGTCGTTGCCACTACGCACAATACTTATTTTACACGATGACGACGCGTCGCTGCAGGTATCAACAGGTCGGGGCTGGCGTCGATAAAAAGAGTGCATTTTACAGTTCCATTGGATATCCAAGCGTCCGCAACAAAAAGCGGAATCGGGCATCGCAAGTGCGTGAAAACACCAATCGACCGCTTCCGCTACCACTTCGGGTATCGAACCCTGTCCCTACTGAGAGTAAAACTCGCGCTGTACCGCCAGACCATAGGAGTGGGCTTCGTCTTTACGTTCAAAGTCCCTACCGTAGATAAATTCTGGCGGCGGCCGTACAAAGGCGCCTCGACCCTTTACACGCGCTGTACTCTCCACTGGACTGGCTCGACCGGGAAACCTACCCCTCGTAGAAACCTACCCCTTGCTCGGCAATGCATGCAGCGTCTACGACACATGACATACCATACGTAGCATCATTCCTGCATCTTTCTTGGTGATGTGCTCGACAGGAGGCTGCCACGTCATCATTACAGACGACGACGGTGGACACGAGGTGCCGACGCGGCCGTGTCATGTCGGTGACGCACGCGCGTCATGCACCGTGCAGTGGAAAAGGCGCAATGACATCATGGAGCGTGACCGACGCTTCGTGCCACCGCGTGTGCTGCGGTCCTAGCAATGCGTCGAGAGAGCCGGAGGCTATGACGATCTTCCCGCAAGCGTCTGATGAAGACGCACGTTCTGCGCGCGGTTGTTGTCGCCGTCGTCTTCTCTCGGTTGAAGCTGCGATCAGATCAAGCGCGTGACGCACCTACGCTTTACTTAACACTCGGATAGTAGTCACAATTCGAGCTGCTCGCCATGCGCTTCCTCTGCTTGGTCGCGCTGCTTCTCTCGGTCCCGCTCGGTGCGCTCACGCTCTCGGCCGACGAGCGCGACGAGCTCTCGCGCGACTTGGCGCGCTGGCAAACCAAGTTTGGCCATGACGACCACGTGCGCGCAGCCATGGCATCGATCAACGTGACGAACAAACACGTCCTCCTCGGGCGCTTGAAGGCGGCCAAGGACAAGCTTCCCGCCTTGCAGGCGGCCAACCCGTACGCGACCTTTAGCCATAAATACATGTAGTTGACGCATCGGTGGAGGAGCACGGAACTAGGCTGGGCGCAGCGACGGGCCGAGGCGAAGAAGAAGCGGGTATTTGGCGACACGATGCTGGTACGCAGGCTGGCCGTGGAGCATGCGCACGACGTCCAGGACAGCGGCGCGCGCCGGGCAGTCGGCATCTTGAAGTCGAAGCCAGCGGCGCACTGATGCCATCCATCCGACAAACGGCAGGTTGTGCCACACGGCGACAGGAATGGCGCGCGTGCGTTCATACTGCACACAGTTGTGCCGAGTCCAGATAAGGTGAAGTGACGCCGCGAGGAGCGACCAGAGCACGCGCAGCGCCGCCTTGTGCGGTGCGTTGCGGCCGTTGACCGAGAATTGCTGGAGCACAACAGAAACGAGGTCGTATCGAGTCAAGGTGGCAACGCAAAGGTCTCACAGCCATAGCCCCTCTTGCCCTCGCCAGCTCTAGAAATATCACTTCGACTTCAACATGGTTGCGTGAAAATAGTTGATTAGCGTTTTTCATACAGAGGAGGATACCGCAACGCAACCTTGCACGCCGTGATCTTGGCTCACGAGATCGCCATGCAGAAGCGCTTCCAGGCGCCGGGATGGAACGCCGTCGCGAGGCGGATTGGAGTCCAATCCGCCTCTCAGCCTGGCTTTTGTGACAAAAGCAAGGCTGCGGACCTAACCGTTAGTACGACAGCCTTGACAAAAGCCGTTGGTCGAGCGTGCCATGGCCAGGAAGCGCAAAGCAAGCCATCGCAACGAGAAGCCCATCGACCAGATGATTGCGGACGCCACGAAGCTCCGCGATGAGACGCTAACGTCCCCCCGTATGGCGTCTGGTGTCGTGCAGTAAGACATTACGTGAGCGCCAACACGCTGAGCCAAGCGGCATTGGACCAGCTCTTCAAGGTTGCCGTGCGAGAACCTTCTGCGACAACTTGGGCTCGTGTCGCGCAAGTCGTGAATGAAATGGATCCGGCTTCTCGGCGCAGTACACGTGATGCGGCCACCGCCGACAGCGTTCGGCAAACCGTCCGGCAC